CAGGCCTCTCGGTGGGCACGCCAGCCTGCCGGCCCTTGCCACTCACTCACACAGTGGCCTAGCAGCAAAACACAAGTACTAGTAGCTCTCTCTCCTGGGATGGCCCTTCCCAGGCCATGGGCACAAACACACAAGCCTGTGTACCCACCACGACCTTTCAATAAACAAAGAAGCCTCCGAAGACGTATCATTTACCACCCGCTACAGCCTACAAAATAAACCCATTAAACATTGGTGGAAAGCGGTGGTCGCAGCAGTTGTTTGCCCGGAGAGAGGAAGGAAGAGGTATGAAGTCATCTTCACTTCATCACCCTACACAAGAAGCATCTGTCTCTCAACAAGTTTTCCTGATTTCATGTCTGCACGTTTGAGCATCCAGACATAGGTACAAGCAGGATCCAGCCGAAATTCTCTGAGAATTGCAAGTGACCCCACGCTACAGTGTCCCACGCTGTTTCTCAAGTCACGTTTTCAGCGTCACATGTATGTTGCTGTTGTTGTTCAGCTCAGCGCAGCTGTTTCAGCAAGCCAGAGGTGAGTTTTGTGGTGATTTCTGCGTCCAGTGTGAGTTCTCCACGTGCTTGTGGGAGGAGGAAGTGGCAGCTCCTTGCCTCGCCCTGCTGTACTCTCACACCTCACCAGCCTATCATACACCACTCACCACTACTCACTCCCTCTGCTGTGTTTTCTGCTGTTTTTCGTCTGAATTCGTCGCCAGTGCTGTTTATCCGAGTGCCCGAGGCCACTCAAAGCTACGTGGATCAGCATGCCATGTAGATCAGCAAGCCACGCAGATCGGCATGCCACGTAGATCAGCATGCCACGTGGATCACGACGCCACGTGGGTGTGGGCGATGTCACGTGGATCTACCAGCCACGTGAGTTACCAGATGTCCCAGGCCACATGCTGTGGTCTGTTGCCCGCATCACATTGACGTCACCGACGATGCTGCCCCACTTCATGATGTCAGGATGTCTGCCTGACGTCACCGAGATGTCTGCTGTCACAGTGCTGCTGACGTCATCACGCCTGACATCACATGGTGTCACCATAGAGTGTTCAGTAATTATTAAAATATTGTCGAGAAGACTAAGAGAAGATATATGTCGTGTGTTTATTCCTCTCAGTCAGTGTTCTCACATTTTAGTATATGTCTTAGTGTCAGTTTTATGCACAGAAAAGCATCATTTGCTAGTTTAAGCCATGTACCGCATGTACCGCGGGTGTGTTTAAAGTTTCCATGTGTCCAGTGAGGTCTGAGCCAGACCTGAGTAGCACCACTGTGCTAAGTCACCCGATGTGACCAGTGCGTATGACAGCTGATGTCAAGACAGCCCCGAGTGACCGAGCCCTCTTGTACAGAAAGCTTTTATGCTCGTCGCTCGTGATGTTCTGCAGAATCGTACCTGCTATGATTCCCATCGAGATTTGTTTCACTTCACCTCCAGATCTTCAGAATGCAGTTATATGTAGAGAAACAAGTCTGGGGATGCTTAGACTAACCTCTCCTATAACTCCAACTGTCGAAAGAATGACACACTGTGTCAGCCTCGTGTCACAAGCTTCAGTGAGCAGCCTGCACAAAGATGTCACTTAGACTGCTAGCTCTCTCACTGCAGTCTGGTGCATGATGTTACGACTCCCAGATGTTTCGC